TTAACAATGGCTGGATTAGCCGTTAGCAGCTACCGTTAGCATTGTATCATGGATATACAAACAACTTGATTTATTAGTTTGATACTAAGGAAACCTTAAAAAAAAAAAAAAGATGTGTTCCCAACAAACGTGAATAAAATTATTAATGTTATTAGAAAACAGCACCCAGAGCTTTATGATGGTCACATCATCGACACCGAGAGCTTTATGATGGTCACATCGATACCGAGAGCTTTATGATGGTCACATCATCGATACCGAGAGCTTTATGATGGTCACATCATCGATACCGAGAGCTTTATGATGGTCACATCGATACCGAGAGCTTTATGATGGTCACATCATCGATACCGAGAGCTTTATGATGGTCACATCATCGATACCGAGAGCTTTATGATGGTCACATCGATACCGAGAGCTTTATGATGGTCACATCATCGATACCGAGAGCTTTATGATGGTCACATCATCGATACCGAGAGCGGACAGAAGAGGATAGAGAGGAAATCTGTCCGTTACTGAGTCCAGCTGTGGGTTTTACTTTACTAAGTAAAGTAGTAAAATCTGATTATTTTGGACTCGTACCGCTTAAAAGGGAGGATTTAGTGTTTGGTGGGAACACACCACGAGTGGAGGTTTATTGTAATGTTCAGAGACAATGATATCCTCAGGAAGTGTCAGTCCTTTTTGGTGCTCAGTGTCTTAAAGAATGCCAGAGGAGGTGTTTCACTCAGCCGGCTGGTGCTCGGTGAACCTCTTCAGGTGGTAGCGTAGCACTCCTTTGGTTTTGAACGTCTTGCCACAGCTGCAGGCGTGCGGCCGCTCGCCGGTGTGGTCAAGCTGGTGGACCCGCAGCAGCGAGCTCGTGAAGAAGAACTCCCCGCAGGTGATGCAGTAGTGGCTCTTCTCTCCGGTATGTTTGGACCTCTGGTGGCTCAGCAGCGAGCCCGACGTGATGAAGCTCTGGCCGCAGTCCTGGCAGCTGAACGGGCGCTCTCCAGTGTGGATCCTCTCGTGGGCCCTCCAGGAGTTGTGGTAGGAGAAGGCCTTCTCGCAGTACGAGCACTGGTACAGCTTCTCCTTGGTGTGGCTCAGCCGGTGCATCTTCAGGTAGTGAGCGATGGTGAAGCTCTTCCCGCAGTCGTCGCAGGTGAACGGCTTCTCGCCCACATGGAACAGCGTGATGTGAGACCTCAGGTGGGACGACTGGGTGAACCTCTTCCCGCAGGTGAGGCAGAGGAACGGCCGCTCTCCAGTGTGGGTGACCATGTGAGACTTGAGGTGGGGCGACTGCGTGAACCTCTTCCCGCACTCGGTGCACTTGTAGGGCTTCAGTCCGGTGTGCGTGCGGTTGTGCAGCTTCAGGCCCTGCAGGCTGGAGAAGCACTTTCCGCACTCAGTGCAGTGGTAGTCCTTTAGGTCCTCGTGGGTCCTCTGGTGGCAGCGCATGCCGCTCAGCAGCTTGAAGCCTTTGCCACAGGTGGGGCATTTGTGCGGCTTCCTGTTGGAGTGGGTGACCTGGTGGAGCTTCAGACTCTGAGGGTTGCTGAAGGTCTTCTTGCACTTCAGGCAGGGCAGAAGCTTCTGGTTCTTGTGCGACTTGCGGTGGAAGTTGAAGCCCTGGTAGGAGACGAACATCTTATTGCAGACTTTGCAGTGGTAGCACTTCTCCTCTTTGTGCAGCTCCAGATGCTCCGTGAGCTCGTCCTGCTCGCTGAAGCCATCCCCACAGAACCAGCACTTGAAGGGTTTGGTCCCCGAGTGCGTTCGGTGGTGGGTCTTCCAGTCCCTCTTCAGGGCGAAGGTCTTGTTGCAGTACGAGCACTGGTAGGGCTCCTGGCGGTCGTGGATCTGCTGGTGGAGGACAAGGCTCATCAGGGTTGGGTAGGTCTTCCCGCACTGCCAGCACTGGTTGGGTTTCTGTCCCTGGTGGGTCCTCAGGTGGGCCTCCAGGTGAGACTCCTTGTAGAACCCTTTCTTGCACTCGGAGCAGTAGACCATCTTTCTGCCCGTGTTGGTCGGGTGGCACTGCCTCTGGTTCCAGAGCTGAGGGTGATCATCTGTGGAGGAGCAGAGGTCAGAGGTCAGAGATCAAGTTAAAGTGTTTTTATCTCCAGTCCAACAGGGACAGGAAGTCCTGTTTCAGGTATTTTAGAGTTTCCTGATAATCAATAAAAGTATTTGATGACTCATCCTGCACTCAGGGGCGTTTACTAATGCTGTGTCCAATCAAACGCTTTCTCTCTTCCGATTATCTGCCGTTAGCGGGCAACAGAACCGGGCTCAGCAGCCGGACCAGGATCGGACGCAGACTGACAGTGAATAACTTTACAGCACCGAGGTCACTTACAGAGTTTCTGATGGACAGATTGATCGGTAGCTAACAGCTAACTGCTGTTAGCTCGGTGACTCGCTGGTTAACTGCCAGGAGCCAAACCCGGGAAGAAAACCACCTTGGTGCTGAAGTCCCTGTCGGTCCCGGGTCCGGCAGTGTTAACTGGAAGGTAGACACTGACGCTAGTTGATAGCGCTAGCTGCTATTGGCTGCTGTAAACGCCCTCCGACTGCCGGATGTTACAGGAAACACTGACTGTTATTTTATATATAAATAAAAGTTCTGACCCAGAGACAGGAAGTCCCGCCCCTCCAGCCACACTCTGCAGTCCGTCAGTTTGATGGACAGCTTCTTGAGAACAGGGTACGACTGGATCTCCACGTCGCCGTCTGGTTCTAGTTTGACCCGAACGTCTTCGGCTGCGTCCTGAAAGCAGAACCGGAGTCACATGATCTCTAAAGGAACCGTTCTACAGCCGTTAATTACAATATCAATACAATCACATTATCAATAATCAATAAAAAATAATCACATTATCAATAATCAATAAAGAATAATCACATCTGATGCTCATCCTTTATTAATATCAATTCATAATAATATAAATAGTGTAATTATTTATAATTTATTAATATTATTAATATTGATAATAATAATGATGTCGTTGATACTTTCTCACCCTCAGATGTTTCAGTTATCTTATCAGCTGCAAATAAATCAGTATTTACACCCCTAATTAATCCTAATAATTAATCCTAATAATGAATCCTAATAATCCCATAATGAATCCCAATAATCAATCCAATAATTAATCCTAATAATTAATCCTAATAATCCCATAATGAATCCCAATAATTAATCCCATAATGAATCCCAATAATTAATCCCATAATGAATCCCAATAATTAATCCCATAATGAATCCCAATAATTAATCCTAATAATGAATCCCATAATGAATCCCAATAATTAATCCCAATAATGAATCCCAATAATTAATCCCATAATGAATCCCAATAATTAATCCTAATAATTAATCCCATAATGAATCCCAATAATTAATCCTAATAATTAATCCCAATAATTAATCCTAATAATGAATCCCATAATGAATCCCAATAATTAATCCTAATAATGAATCCCAATAATTAATCCTAATAATGAATCCCATAATGAATCCCAATAATTAATCCCATAATGAATCCCAATAATTAATCCCATAATGAATCCCAATAATTAATCCCATAATGAATCCCAATAATTAATCCTAATAATTAATCCCATAATGAATCCCAATAATTAATCCTAATAATGAATCCCAATAATTAATCCTAATAATTAATCCTAATAATCCCATAATGAATCCCAATAATCAATCCAATAATTAATCCTAATAATTAATCCTAATAATTAATCCTAATAATTAATCCCGATAATTAATCCCGATAATGAATCCTGATAATGAATCCCAATAATGAATCCCATAATTAATCCCAATAATGAATCCTAATATTAGTACAGTTACCGCAGTAATAGAGTATTAATACAGTTACTGCAGTAACAGAGTATTAGTACAGTTACCGCAGTAACAGAGTATTAATACAGTTACTGCAGTAATAGAGTATTAATACAGTTACCGCAGTAATAGAGTATTAGTACAGTTACCGCAGTAATAGAGTATTAGTACAGTTACCGCAGTAATAGAGTATTAGTACAGTTACCGCAGTAATAGAGTATTAGTACAGTTACCGCAGTAATAGAGTATTAGTACAGTTACTGCAGTAACAGAGTATTAGTACAGTTACCGCAGTAACTGAGTATTAGTACAGTTACCGCAGTAATAGAGTATTAGTACAGTTACCGCAGTAATAGAGTATTAGTACAGTTACCGCAGTAACAGTATTAGTAGTTACTGCAGTAATAGAGTATTAGTACAGTTACTGCAGTAATAGAGTATTAGTACAGTTACCGCAGTAATAGAGTATTATTACAGTTACTGCAGTAACTGAGTATTAGTACAGTTACCGCAGTAATAGAGTATTAGTACAGTTACCGCAGTAATAGAGTATTAGTACAGTTACCGCAGTAATAGAGTATTAGTACAGTTACTGCAGTAACAGAGTATTAGTACAGTTACCGCAGTAACTGAGTATTAGTACAGTTACTGCAGTAATAGAGTATTAGTACAGTTACCGCAGTAATAGAGTATTATTACAGTTACTGCAGTAACAGAGTATTAGTACAGTTACCGCAGTAACTGAGTATTAGTACAGTTACCGCAGTAATAGAGTATTAGTACAGTTACCGCAGTAACAGTATTAGTAGTTACTGCAGTAATAGAGTATTAGTACAGTTACCGCAGTAATAGAGTATTAGTACAGTTACCGCAGTAATAGAGTATTAGTACAGTTACCGCAGTAACTGAGTATTAGTACAGTTACCGCAGTAATAGAGTATTAGTACAGTTACTGCAGTAATAGAGTATTATTACAGTTACTGCAGTAATAGAGTATTAGTACAGTTACCGCAGTAACAGAGTATTAGTACAGTTACCGCAGTAATAGAGTATTAGTACAGTTACTGCAGTAATAGAGTATTAGTACAGTTACCGCAGTAATAGAGTATTAGTACAGTTACTGCAGTAACAGAGTATTAGTACAGTTACCGCAGTAACAGAGTATTAGTACAGTTACCGCAGTAACTGAGTATTAGTACAGTTACCGCAGTAACAGAGTATTAGTACAGTTACCGCAGTAACAGAGTATTAGTACAGTTACCGCAGTAATAGAGTATTAGTACAGTTACTGCAGTAACAGAGTATTAGTACAGTTACCGCAGTAATAGAGTATTAGTACAGTTACCGCAGTAATAGAGTATTAGTACAGTTACCGCAGTAATAGAGTATTAGTACAGTTACTGCAGTAGTATTATGAGGAGAACCGCAGGCCTCCACAGCAGACAGAACCTCAACCAAACTCCATTCAGATTCTGGTGGTTTTAACTCCACTCTCTCTCTGATTAAAGCCACTGACAGTAGTTATGATCATTAAATCTGATGAGTGGACATCCGGCGGACATCCGGTCCATTCAACCGGAGCCCTGCAGCACTGTCTCACCTGTCTGCCCTCATGTACCTGTCTGCCCTCATGTACCTGTCTGCCCTCATGTACCTGTCTGCCCTCATGTACCTGTCTGCCCTCATGTACCTGTCTGCCCTCATGCTCTGTAGACAGGAACCGGACCTGTCTGTGTCTTAAACCGGACCAGAGTTCTGTTATATTTGTGCCGAATTAACGGACAGTAATAACAACAACAATCTCCGATAGTGTGACCCTCCTCAGTGACTGCGCGCTGTGAGCACCGACCGGATGTCTTTATATTGCTCACTTTCTGAATGGAGTTTGGCGGCAGGTTGGTTCGGTTAGCTTAGCTCGGCTAACAGCTCCGGTGTGGAACCGTCCGCTCGGTCGGTGAGTTTACCGGTGAGGTGTCGGGGTCCATCCCGCCGGTTGAGCTCTGGCTGAGGACCAGTCGGTTCCGGTTGTTCCGTTAAAGTTGGCGGTTGGTTGAGTCCAGAAGAGCTAACAGGACCAACTTCTTCTTCTGCTGCTGCTTCTGCTGCTGCTGCGGGACGGTCAGCACACTTCCGGGGGAAAGGTCAACCTCCAAAATAAGAGAAAGTCATTTTATATTTTATTAACAAACACAGTGAAATTATAAACTGTTTTCATTTCTTATTTATTTTATTTTCTATGAAAATGTAAATGTAAATGAGACAAAAAGAGGAAAAATAATCTTTTTTTATTTAAAGCATTTATAGTTATATTGTGTCTCAGTGAGCTTTACAATCTGTGCAACCATCCAGATTTATTGATTTTAACTTTATTAAGAAAATAGACAATCCATACATGAACATGTATATTATATGTACAGAAATTGATATCACAAAATTGGAACAAACACAAACAACTTCAGGTTAAAAAGTCGATTCATTTCATATTTTACATAAAAACAATCAATAAATACATGATCAATAGTTTATGCCTCTCAGTAGAAAAACAGACATTAACATTAGAAACTGTCCTCAGAGCCTCCGTTCACTAAAGACACTTTTTAATTTTTAACAATGTGTGACAAATAAAATGACAAAAATACATATTTTATATTAAAATACAATCAGTGACAGACAGAAATAATCATAAAATAACAAAAGTGTTATTAAAGGCAAACTAAATGTGAAGTTGTTAACTGTAAAACAGATGTGTTACAATCATAAAACAGATGTGTTATGGTTGTAAAACAGGTTTAAGAAGGTGTGATTGATCTCTGATACTGAAGATATCAGAACCTCCAGCCTTTCGAGACCACTGCGATGTACGTCGTGATGTTTTTAGTGAGAATAAAAGGGACCGGAGGGTCAGTGTGAGACGTCTTCAACACTGTTGATGTGTGATTGAGGGAAAAATCACTAATAACTGTTTATTAATATGAATATCATTAACTATTAACTATTTAACAGTAGACATTATAGTTCACACACTGATGATATACACTGATGTATTTTGGTAGAAGAGTAAGCCTCCAGTTGGGCTTTATGGTCGTCTCCATGTTGGTGTTCAGCAGCCAGCAGAGGTCACGTGAAGCGAGTTGCTCTGCTCTCATTGGCGGCTCTCCTGCTCACACAGGATCTGGTATTCCAGATAAACAGTAAAATGTGTTTGTGAACAGATCTGAGGAGAGAAACAGTCAACAACAGAATCTGGATCCATATCTGATCAGCACTGTTTGACAGTTTTATCTGAGTTTGGTTGAGCTGGACGGACTCACTGAGAATGAGCTGTCAATCACAAGGTAGCCTAAAGCATACCCTGCTTTATGGTCTGTTTTACTCTCAATGGGACCTTCAGTTACTAAATGAACATCATGCTGTATGGAAGAAGACTGAAACTAGAGACTGAGACCAGAAACTCATCAGGGAACTGTTTACTGAACTCATTGATCTCCATAAGACTCCATACTATCAGTGGAGCTGTCCTCTGCTGGCCTGAGGGGAAATTGTCCGGCTTCATAAATGTCCAACAATGAGAATTTTAGGTCTTAAAATGTAAATATGATTATAATAGATCTTAAAATGTATTTATTACTCGTATAAAGTTAAATGTATGTAGATGATTCTGTAACAACTACACAAGCAAACCAGAACCACCTGGAGAGATTCTGGAGATAATCTGGAGAAATGTTTGGTACTGTCCATAAACCCTGACCCGTAATCAACCTCTTCATCAGCAGGACAAAGTCTACTGGAAACACCACTGCATAAATGAAGTGGAGCCCAGAACCCGGAACCCAGAACCCGGAGCCCAGAACCCAGAACCCAGAACCTCAGTCTAACGTGGAGTTCACAGAGACACAAAGAAACACAACAAGATAAATAAATGATTTAATAGAATTTCTTTCTCTTGAAAAGCTGTTAAATTACACTTCCTGTCCTGTTCAGACAGACAGAGAGACAGACAGAGAGACAGACAGAGAGACAGACAGGTTCGGTCTACAGTCCCCCTTTAGGACCAGAACCAACCAGAGAACCCAGAAAGTAAAAGAGGCACGATGATGATGATGATGATGATGATGATGATGAGACCTACAGAAACATAATCTAAAAAAATTAAAGTCCTCGTTAACACTCAGTGTCTCCATGGCAACAGAAAGACAAACATTAACTATCAGCGTCCGTTTTGTCCCGCGAGCGCGAGTCCCGGCCGGCGTCCGGGTCGGAGGTCACACGGGGAGCCACGCCCACATCAGCACACCGGCGGAGGTGGCAGCCAATCGGGGAGCAGCTAGCGGCGGTAGACTCCGAAGGCCACCAGGCTGAGGAAGATGGTGACTCCGATCAGAGAGGCGGTGGCCGGGGCGGTGAAGAACTGCCGGTACTGGATCTGACAGTACCACAGCACCGACAGCATCAGGACCAGCAGGGGGACCATCAGGCTGCCCACATTCAGAGCCACCTGCACCTGGTCTGCAGGACGCGGACCCCCCGCTGACCCCCGACCCGAATGCTGAGAGATGTGACAGTGCAGGACGCAGTTGTGGACCAGGTTCAGGGAGGCCAGAGTCTGAGCGTCATCCTGCAGCAGCTGACCCTGATAGATCAACCGGACCTGCTGCTCCTGCCCCGCAAAGTAGGTCCTGTAGGGCAGATGGCAGAGGGCAATAGTGATACAATAGTGGGGCAGTAGTGAGGCAGTAGTGATACAATAGTGGGGCAGTAGTGATACAGTAGTGGGGCAGTAGTGATACAATAGTGGGGCAGTAGTGATACAGTAGTGGGGCAGTAGTGATACAATAGTGGGGCAGTAGTGATACAGTAGTGGGGCAGTAGTGATACAATAGTGGGGCAGTAGTGATACAGTAGTGGGGCAGAAGTGATACAATAGTGGGGCAGAAGTGAGGCAGAAGTGAGGCAGTAGTGGGGCAGTAGGGGGGCAGTAGTGAGGCAGTAGTGATACAATAGTGGGGCAGAAGTGAGGCAGAAGTGGGCGGTGGGGCAGGGGGCAGTAGTGAGGCAGTAGTGATACAATAGTGGGGCAGAAGTGAGGCAGAAGTGAGGCAGAAGTGGAGGCAGTAGTGGGGCAGTAGTGAGGCAGTAGTGATACAATAGTGGGGCAGAAGTGAGGCAGTAGGGGGGCAGTAGAGGGGCAGTAGAGGGGCAGTAGTGGGGCAGTAGAGGGGCAGTAGAGGGGCAGTAGAGGGGCAGTAGTGGGGCAGTAGTGAGGCAGTAGTGATGCAGTAGAGGGGCAGTAGTGGTGCAGTAGTGAGGCAGTAGTGATACAATAGTGGGGCAGTAGTGAGGCAGTAGTGGTGCAGTAGTGAGGCAGTAGTGGGGCAGTAGTGGTGCAGTAGTGGGGCAGTAGTGGTGCAGTAGTGATACAATAGTGGGGCAGAAATGAGGCAGAAGTGAGGCAGTAGTGGGGCAGTAGTGAGGCAGTAGTGATACAATAGTGGGGCAGAAGTGAGGCAGTAGTGGGGCAGTAGGGGGGCAGTAGTGAGGCAGTAGTGATACAATAGTGGGGCAGAAGTGAGGCAGTAGAGGGGCGGTAGAGGGGCAGTAGTGATGCAGTAGTGGGGCAGTAGAGGGGCAGTAGTGAGGCAGTAGTGAGGCAGTAGAGGGGCAGTAGAGGGGCAGTAGAGGGGCAGTAGTGGTGCAGTAGTGAGGCAGTAGTGATACAATAGTGGGGCAGAAGTGGGGCAGTAGTGAGGCAGTAGTGATGCAGTAGTGATGCAGTAGAGGGGCAGTAGAGGGGCAGTAGTGAGGCAGTAGAGGGGCAGTAGAGGGGCAGTAGTGGTGCAGTAGTGAGGCAGTAGTGATACAGTAGTGGGGCAGTAGTGGTGCAGTAGTGGGGCACTAGTGATACAATAGTGGTGCAGTAGTGATACAGTAGTGATACAGTAGTGGGGCACTAGTGATACAATAGTGATACAATAGTGGGGCAATAGTGGGGCAATAGTGATACAGTAGTGATACAGTAGTGATACAGTAGTGGGGCACTAGTGATACAATAGTGGGGCAATAGTGGGGCAATAGTGGGGCAGTAGTGAGGCAGTAGTGAGGCAGTAGAGGGGCAATAGTGAGGCAGTAGTGGGGCACTAGTGATACAATAGTGGGGCAATAGTGGGGCAATAGTGAGGCAGTAGTGAGGCAGTAGTGAGGCAGTAGAGGGGCAATAGTGATACAGTAGTGGGGCACTAGTGATACAATAGTGGGGCAATAGTGAGGCAGTAGTGAGGCAGTAGAGGGGCAATAGTGAGGCAGTAGTGGGGCACTAGTGATACAATAGTGAGGCAGTAGTGAGGCAATAGTGAGGCAATAGTGAGGCAATAGTGATACAATAGTGGGGCAATAGTGGGGCAATAGTGGGGCAGTAGTTTTACCGTTTGATGTATCCGATGGTGTCCTGTGGTTGGACCTGAGCCGTTCTCTCTGTGTCGTTGAGGAACTTCAGTCTGACCACCATGTTCCTCTCAGACGATGAGGACTCTCCTCCTCCTCCTCCTCCTCCTCCTCCTCCTCCTCCTCCTCCTCCTCTGCTCCTCATGCCATCTCCTCCCACCTCCCCCCTCCCACCCTCCTGCCCCTCCCCTTTCTCCTCCTGGGTGGAGCTGTTGGTGGGCAGAGCCTCTGTCACAGAGCTGTCACTCACAGAGCTCGAGGGGGAGGAGGAGGATGAAGAAGAGGTGGTGTTGGTGGAGGAGGGGGGCGTGTCCGGGTGGGCGGGGCTGCTCCTCAGTGAGGGGGCGGGGCCTGTGGTGGAGGTGAACAGGTGTTCTGGGGGCTCGGAGGTGCGGGTGGAGATCCAGGCGAGCAGCAGCACCAGGAGGAGCAGCAGAGAGCCGAACAGCAGCGTCACCTCGTCTCCGACACCTTCAATCAGAGCCATCGCCCACGGCAACGCCCACTGAGGTCAACGCAGGTCACACACCGGCACACAGGGGGCGGGGCTTAGCATCAACACCTGAAAAAGTGACGTAGAGCAGTGATGATCTGACCTTTGACTTTTATCAGTGATGGACTTTGTTGTTTTATTTACTGATTGATTAGTTTAGTGTCAGCAGAAGATACAAAGAGTGGAATCTGAATGGAGTTTGGTTCCTGCTGCGTGCTCCGGTTAAAGATACCACACTGCTTATATTTAGGGATCGAGCACTGACAAGTGCAAGGTCACTATTGTTCCTGTAGGAATTATTAGGGACCGAGCCAGCGACCGGCAAGGTCCCTATTGTTTTTGCTTGATTTCTTCTTCTTACCTATTATTATTTTTAGCCCCCATTGACTGCATTTTTGCCCCCTGAACATTTACGAAAACTGTATTTTATTTGGCAAAGTTATCAGGCCTGGTGAAAATGGGGATATTCTCTGTGTCGCTTTCGGGTTGGCCACTAGGTGGCGCTACTATCATAAAAAATGTGTTTAGGCTAATAACTTCTGCATAGTTTGTCGCACATTCAAAAAACTTATATCCACGCGTTCGGTGAATAAAGCTGAATCTTCCCATATAGGCCACGCCCACTTCCGCCTATAATTTTTTTCCGTTAGAGCGCAAAATGTCCTTAAATTACTTTTTCGTGTTCCTCCTGCACGCTTTGTCCGATTCGCACGAAATTTTTCACCAAGCACCTGGGGACCGCGCTTGCAAAAAGAGTAATTTGAACATTTTTCAAATTTCAAAAAATAAGAACGCAATAAAATTCCAACTTCCTGTAGATTTTTCGTCAAAAAGGAAGTGGACCATTTCTCCACATTGGTTTCTCCGATTGACATCAAACTTGGGTCCATAGTTCCTCATGTCTTCCTTAGGCATCGTGCACAGTTTCAGGCAATCGCCTCTAGGTGGCGCTCTTTAAAATGAAGAAGTTTATATCTCTACAACGGTATGTGTGATTAAGATGAAACTTGGTACGATGCTTCCCCATGGCTCCCTGAGGTTTGCTAATAAATGTGACAACAATCCGCCACTAGGTGGCGCTCTGGTGGCAGGGTAAATCACTGTGCGGAGACCGTAATAGTTATGAATATGAAATTCACAGGGCACGTGTAGAGTGGTGCCTGAAGCTCACATACCAAAAATCCTGTTTGTCGTGTTTGTAGCGCCCCCTACAGGATAAAAAAAAGCAGCCCCGGCGCCACGTTTCACCGATATGTACGAAACTCGGTAGGCACGTGTAACATGCCGGGACGTACAAAAAAGCCTCTTGGACCCATACCCCAAACCCCAACGGAAGTCGGCCATTTTGATTTTAATTTTTGGCGAACTTTTCGCGTTGTATTTGAACGAACAGAGTAGTTCAATCTACAAACATTGGTTATCTAAAGTTGTGCTATTTGTGACTGTATGTTTAACCGTGTGCCCGTGACGACGTGTCGAATTCCACCGATTGGACATCAAACAGATAGTACTCATACCTTCAGTGTACAGTCCCACCCTGAACACGTCTACATGACAATATTCAGACATAGTGATAGCGCCACCTACTGGCAACAGGAAGTAAGCTCTGCGTAGCGATTTTGAGCTGATTTATGTGAAATTTCATGTTTTGGTCCGTACGTGTAACGACGGCACGCGACGCAGCCGCAGCACGCCCCGAGTTGCGTGGAGTGCGAGGTCCCGCTCAACGCTGCCTGCAGCTTTAATTAGGGATCCTATTGTTCCTGAAGGAATTATTATTATTTTGTGCCTCTTTCACCGCATATTTAACCCCCGCAGCATTCTCAAATGTACGAAAATTGGTACGCATGTGTACGATGATAAAAGAAGCAGAAAAGTCTCAAGGACCCATACCTCAAACCCAACAGGAAGTCGGCCATTTTGGATTTTGTGGCCATTTTTGGCGATTTACACACGTTGTATTTGAACGAACTCCTCCTAGGGCATTTATCGGACTGACTTTAATATATATAATATATATTATATATTATTGATAACTTTTAACTCTTCTTAATCCCCATACAGAATGTGTTAATTTATCTGTTTGAATGTTGATCAGCAGGTCAGCAGACTGCAGAGCATTGTGGGTAATCCCTGTGTATTAAACAACAGCTGATCACAGTGATCGATGATGTAGCCCTGTATTGATCAGCTCTTTATAAACAGACATCAGCTCCATTACACCGATTTAAGATCTCAGTCAAACTCTGCAGCCACTGATCAACTGATTATTGATTATTATGAGGCTGGTTATTGATCATGAGGCTGGTTATTGGCTGGTTATTGATCATGGTTATTGATCATGAGGTGACTGTACAGTCCGTGTGAAGGGACTACAGTCTGAGGACGTCCAGGTGCTGATCAGCCTCAACCTGTTGTCTCTTTAATGCTAACCCTCTGAGCTAACTGCTAACCCTCTGAGCTAACTGCTAACCCTCTGAGCTAACTGCTAACCCTCTGAGCTAACTGCTAACCCTCTGAGCTAACTGCTAACAGCGGACCGGAAGTCAGATAAGCTAAGCTACATGCTAACAGCGTCCGCTGTGAGCTCGTGAGTAGATGCAGAGAGACAGTGAGTGCGCGCGCAGAGACACGAGATCAAATCAAACTTACTGTTCAGTTTAGAAACGTCACATCGTTAGCCTGCAGGCTAACCAGGCTAATCTGTTCTGACTGCTGCTCCCGACACTTCCTGCTTCCGCTTCTTCTTCTTCTGTGGTTCTGACGCAGCGGTGACGCTCTGCTGCTTCCTGCTGGTCGTCTGACAATGTTTGTTTGTTTATTTGTTTGTTTGTTTGTTTTATTCCTCCTTCCTATGTGATCGTATTCTTTATTATTCTTCTATCAATGTATTAAATACAATGTGACCCTGTTCTGTTGTAAACAACAATAACTCTCTTACTGCATGAATTCATTATTATTTAATATTATTCAGTGAAGAACAAATAAACAAACAAACACAGAAAACACTAATGTTCTAATAACAGTAAGATTGTTTTCAGGTATTGATCCAGATATTTCTGAGATATTTCATAGAGAAGAGCGACACATTCAAATACATGGAACCAAATGAGGACAGCATATTGATTGATACTAATAATCAATATTATTATTGCCACAGTGATGCTATAAAATCCTTCACCAGTAAAACAACCTAAGATAATTTTATTTGTATAGCACCAATTCATAACAGAAGTTATCTCAGGACACTTTTCAAATAGAGCAGGTCTAGACCGAACTCTTTAAAACATTATTTACAGAGACCCAACAGTACCACCATGAGCAAGCACTTGGAGACAAGGGCAAGGAAACACTGCCTGTTAAAAGGCAGAAACATAGGACAGATCCTCCGGCTCTAGGTGGGTGGTTGAAAAATATTCACTTTTCTCCAGTTTATGATTTTTGAGTTTTCAAATAAAATAAGAATATATAAAGTTATAAAAGCAGGGACATCATTAAATGTTCATTATATTTTATCTGCAGAGAAGAAGATTGTTGTCTGAAAGGTCAAACTGTGTTAATAGTTACATAAAAACAATCAATAAATGCACGATCAATAGATTCTGCCTCTCAGTATAAAAACAGACATTAACATCAGAAACTGTTCTCAGTACTCGTGCTGCAGCGTTTTGAATTAATTGGAGCGTTTTAATGGACTTATTGGGGCAACCTGATAATAAAGAGTTGCAGTAATCCAGCCTTGAAGTAACAAATGCATGGATTAGTTTTTCTGCATCTGTCTGTGATAGTATGTGTCTAATTTTTCTAATATTACGTAAATGAAAGAAGGCAGTCCTAGAGGTCTGCTTCATGTGGGAGTTAAATGACAAATCCTGATCAAAGATAACTCCAAAATTCCTGACAGTGGTGCTAGAGGCCAAGGTAATGCCATCTAGAGTAACTATATCTTTAGACAATGAGTCTCTAAGGTTTTTGGGGCCAAGAACAAGAATTTCGTTTTTTTCTGAGTTTAACATCAGAAAATTGCAGCTCATCCAGGATTTTATGTCCTTAAGACATGTTTGTAATTTAGATAATTGATTAATTTCATCGGGCTTGATTGATAGATATAACTGCGTATCATCTGCATAACAGTGAAAGTTAATGGAGTGATTCCTAATAATGTTGCCTAAAGGGAGCATATATAAAGTAAATAGTATTGGTCCAAGTACAGAACCTTGTGGAACTCCATGACTAACTTTAGTATTTATTGAAGATTCATCGTTAACATGTACAAACTGCGAACGATCTGATAAATATGACTTAAACCAGCTTAGTGCGGTTCCTTTAATGCCAATTTGATGCTCAAGTCTCTGTAAAAGAATATTATGGTCAATGGTGTCAAATGCAGCACTAAGATCTAATACTACAAGTACAGAGACAAGTCCATTGTCAGAAGCAGTCAGAAGGTCATTATTAACTTTAACCAGAGCTGTCTCTGTGCTATGATGAACTCTAAATCCTGACTGAAAATCCTCAAATAAACTATTGTTATGTAGAAAGTCACACAACTCTTTGGCGACTACTTTCTCCAGAATCTTAGAGAGGAAGGGGAGGTTAGAAATCGGTCTATAGTTGGCTAAAACCCCTGGGTCAAGAGTGGACTTTTTTAAGAAGGGGTTTAATTACAGCTACTTTAAAGGACTGTGGTACATATCCTGATAATAAAGAAAGACTAATCATATCCAGTAAAGAAGTGCCAATTAAGGGAACAACTTCTTTAAGCAGCCTAGTTGGGATCGGGTCTAATAGACAGGTTGATGGCTTCGATGAAGAAATGATTGAAGTTAACTGATGAAGATCGATAGCAGAGAAACAGTCTAAATATATATTTAAGTTTACATTAGCAGAAGTCCCTGAACTTGGAGAGCCACTGATAACTGTTGATGGCAGTTGGTGATTAATTTTCTCTCTAATAGTAATAATTTTATTATAGAAGAAGCTCATGAAGTCATTGCTACTTAAGTTTATGGGGATATGTGGCTCAATAGAGCTGTGACTCTCTGTCAGCCTGGCTACAGTGCTGAAGAGGAACCTAGGGTTGTTCTTATTTTCTTCTATTAATGCTGAGTAATAGGCTCCTCTGGCATTACGGAGGGCCTTTCTATAAGTTTTAAGATTATCTTGCCAAATTGAGCGATATTCTGATAATTTGGAAGAGCGCCATTTCATTTCAGATTTCATAGCTATTTGTTTTAACTGACGGGTTTGGTGGTTATACCAAGGTGCTAGTCTCCTATGTTTTAATTAATTAGTCTCTAAAAGTAGAACAGGAGCCAGAGCCTTCAGTTACCAAGCTCCTCTCCTGTGGAACCAGCTTCCAGTTGTGGTTCGGGAGGCAGACACCCTCACCACATTCAAGAGTAGGCTTAAGACATTCCTCTTTGATAAAGCTTATAGTTAGGGCTGGATCAGGTGAGTCCTGAACCATCCCTTAGTTATGCTGCTATAGGCCTAGACTATCGGGGGATTACCCATGGTGCACTGAGCTCCTCCCTTCCTCTCTCTTTCTGCACTCATTCATGTCCCTTTAATGCATGTTACTAACTTCACTTCTTCCCCGGAGTTCTTGTGCTTTCTCGTCTCGCAGGTTCTTGTCGATCCTGGTGGAGCCTCCTGCCATGGTCCTGCTAGATTGCCATTGCCAATACTGTTGTTACTGTGCACCTGTCTGTCTCTCTCTTGCTCTCTCTCTCTCTGCCTCTCTCTCTCTGTCTCTCTCTCTCTCTCGCTCACCCCAACTGGTCGAGACAGACGACCACCCACCTAGAGCCGGAGGATCTGTCCTAGGTTTCTGCCTTTTAACAGGCAGTTTTTCCTTGCCCTTGTCTCCAAGGTCTTGCGCATGGTGGTACTGTTGGGTCTCTGTAAATAATGTTAAAGAGTTCGGTCTAGACCTGCTCTATTTGAAAAGTGTCCTGAGATAACTTCTGTTATGAATTGGCGCTATACAAATAAAATTGAATTGAATTGAAATGTCATTAATATATAAACAAAGAGCTGTGGGCCCAGTACGCAACCATGTGGAACTTCACATTAAAGCTTTCATAACCAGCACAATAAAAATGTTTGTAGTTTGTTCGATTTAATAATCAAATGATCTTTTTAATGAATAAAACAAGATTTCTGTCATACAAACAGAATTAAGATTAAATATATTAGAAATGTATGGAGTTTTTGTTTGAGAATTTGTGTCTTTATTACATGCGAGAAAATAAATGATCTGAGAGACTAGAAAAAGTTAGCTTCCATTTAGGATAGCCTATTTAATGTTTAATCTTCAGTGATGTTAGCTGAGCAGAACTCCACATTAGACACTAGACATTTGTTCCTATGATGGGAATGATTTTGATTACCAACTCGCTCAGCTAGCTACCCATCGAGTTGTGCGTGTCATCGTCTTACCCAAACATTGGAGTCTCCGCGCTCAACTAAGGCAGCGCATCTATGCTGGTGAATCGACAATGGTGTAACGATTCAGTTCACTGCCAAGACGATTCTCACCCGACTGGCCAATAGGAACGTGACATTATTTTCACAGCGAGAGCAAAATCCTGACAGGAGAGCAAGAAATTGCATCGAGAGCAAAGACTTAGGTTTTGAGAGAGAGAAGAAAAACGTTTAAGAGAAAATGTTTTCACACTGATAGCAAAAAAACATATATTTGAGAGTTAAAAAAAAGTATTTTGAGAGATTTTTTTTTCTCAGAAATAATTTTAAAAATTTCAAATTTATATTTTTTCATGTTCTATGAGGAAATACTTTCTCTCAAATATTTTTTCTCTCTCATAAAATGCGTTTTTTGCTATCAGTGTGATAACTTTTTCTCTAAAACATTTTTTTCTCTCAGATCATTTATTTTCTCGCATGTAATAAAGACACAAATCTAACTCCATAGATATGGATTTATTTATTAAATTATAGAATATCGATCATGTTATATTTCAACTTTTGTCACATGTGACGATTATTGTCTATTACTGCCTTATTAATATGTTTCATATATTATTGTTCATTTTTTGTTTATGTTTTTCTTGACTTGCAGTCCTTGTGTTGTCTCATATTGTGGATCAAATATATTCTTTTCTCACAGTTTAGTCTCTGCAGTCGGCCTTTATTTTGAAAGTCCCTGCCGGGGTCACGTGGTGGTCGGTGTGTGACTTGACTCCAGGTCGAAGGACGAGGTGAGGGAGAGAGAGGAGGAGAGAGGAGGAGAGAGAGAAGAGGCATGAATCATCAGGAGGAGACGGACTGATGAGAGACAGTCAGAGGACATCTGATCTGCAGGTCCCTGAACGCACCGCGGCGTCTCCTCCGCGTCTTTCTTGGTTCTTGTCTGGACCCGGTCTCTGGTCTTTGGTCTCAGGATGCCGGACCAGATCTCAGTGTGTGAATTCCTGTCCGAGACGACCGAGGACTACAACTCCCCCACCACGTCCAGCTTCACCACCCGGCTGCAGAGCTGCAGGAACACCGTCAGCATCCTGGAGGAGGTAGGTTGTCTGCCTGTCTGTCTGTGTGTCTGTCTGCCTGCCTCCTGTCTGTCTGCCTGTCTGCCTGTCTGTCTGCCTGCCTGCCTGCCTGCCTGCCTGCCTGTCTGTCTGTCTGTCTCCTCCATCCTGACCCCCCATCCCTGCCTCTCGGCCTGTGAAGCTCCGTTCTCCCCGGTGACTAGAACGACGGAGAAAACAATTTGGCGAACTCGTTTTACATTTCTGCTGATTTTATGTTTCATGATTTAATGACAAAAACAAACAATAATTCCGAGAAATTTCAGCGTGAGATATGAATCAAATCCTCTCCTCTGAAGTTCGGCGCACATATGAAAGGATTTCCCCTCAATGAGATCTTGGATGTGATGGTTGGTTGTCGCTGCTCTCTGCCGCCCTCCGCAGTGTTCTGGCGGTAGAAAACAAGCGAGCTGATGTTCACAGTTGACATGACCCTGAAGAGCGCGCTGCCCGGTGGATGATATGATCCCCGATTGGAAGATCGATCACAGAGATAACGGAAATATTTGAGCAATGGCTCCATGTTTGTCTTTTATTTCGCTAAATGTCAATGAAACACAGAAGTGGCAGATTTCTGAATGGAGTTTGGCTGAAGGGCGACTGAGAGAACGTCACCTTGAAGGGGCTGCAGTGTGTTTATATATTTATATATGTGACTGTATCTGCACCAATGTTGAAGTCATTTATATGAAATATGTTTAATATATTTCATAGATTATATTCTCAGTTGAACTGATTTAATATATTTCATCAGTTCATCCATTAATAAATTATAAATCTGTGGTGAAGTTATTAATACATTAATTAATATCTGAATAAGAATATTACCTTAATACCACCTTAAACATCATGTTTCACATTCATGTGGTGACACTAAACTCTACTTCCTGTCTTCATTAATGGCTTTTCAAAGTAAGGTGTTTTTAAGAGGACAAATAAAAAAAACACTGACATTATATTATATTAATTAATTACAATGTTTATTAAGTTAATTAAGTCCTCACATGACCTGAGTGCACCACGTGGACTCAGCTGTGCTGCATTCACTGACAGGCTGTAAACGTTTCAGACTGCACATATGATGATGATGATGATGATGATGATGATGATGGTTGGAGTCACACCACATGGTCGCCTTGACGACCCACATCCTCCGGCCAGGTTTCCATAGCAACAGAGGAAACTGTTGGCCTGAGAAGAGTGTCGCATCTGGTCAAACACACACACACACAGAGCTTTTATTTTGAAGGAATGGATGGAAGTATAATAATAATATATAATAATTATAATGATATATTTATTATTGATTCATATTCAGTTCATTCATTTGTATTCAGCCTTTTTCTCTTCCAGCGATCGACCGATATTGATTAATTAGGGCAAATACAGATATTGATTATTTGTAATCAAGGAAATCGATATTGGAACTGATAAACATTTGGAGTAAAAATGAAAATGTGAATTTGTACAACAAGCAGTGGTGAAATGTAACTAAGTACATTTACTCAAGTATGTATGTGAGTACAGTTTGAATGTCCTCAACCACAAACAGGATGTATGAACACGTTTCCTCTACTGTTTATTTCATTATAAATCTTATTTCTTTTTTTAAAGTATTTTATTGCCTTTATTGGATAGGACAGCTGAAGATAGACAGGAAGGGGGTGCAGAGAGAGGGGATGACACACAGCAAAGGGCCGCAGGTCGGATTTGAACCCTGGGCCGCTGCAGCAAGGACTGATGGCCTCGGGTACATGGGTCGCCAGCTCTACCCACGGAGCTAACCAGGCGCTCTATAAATCTTATTTCTAATGTGTCTGTCTGTCTGCCTGTCTGTCTGAAGGCTCTGGACCAGGACCGCTCAGCCCTCCAGAAGGTGAAGAAGTCGGTTAAATCCATCTACAGCTCAGGACAAGGTACAGATCAGATCCTGGTTCAGTTTTATCTTAAAGCTCCTGTATGTAACATTAAACTGTAGCTTACAGCGCCACCAGTGGTCGTTCATTAAACTGTAGCTAACAGCGCCACCAGTGGTCGTTCATTAAACTGTAGCTAACAGCGCCACCAGTGGTCGTTCAGTGAACTGTAGCTAACAGCGCCACCAGTGGTCGTTCATTAAACTGTAGCTAACAGCGCCACCAGTGGTCGTTCATTAAACTGTAGCTAACAGCGCCACCAGTGGCCGTTCATTAAACTGTAGCTAACAGCGCCACCAGTGGTCGTTCATTAAACTGTAACTAACAGCGCCACCAGTGGTCGTTCATTAAACTGTAGCTAACAGCGCCACCAGTGGTCGTTCAGTGAACTGTAGCTAACAGCGCCACTAGTGGTCGTTCAGTGAACTGTAGCTAACAGCGCCACCAGTGGTCGTTCATTAAACTGTAGCTAACAGCGCCACCAGTGGTCGTTCATTAAACTGTAGCTAACAGCGCCACCAGTGGTCGTTCATTAAACTGTAACTAACAGCGCCACCAGTGGCCGTTCATTAAACTGTAGCTAACAGCGCCACCAGTGGTCGTTCATTAAACTGTAACTAACAGCGCCACCAGTGGTCGTTCATTAAACTGTAGCTAACAGCGCCTCCAGTGGTCGTTCATTAAACTGTAGCTAACAGCGCCACCAGTGGTCGTTCATTAAACTGTAGCTAACAGCGCCTCCAGTGGTCGTTCATTAAACTGTAGCTAACAGCGCCACCAGTGGTCGTTCAGTGAACTGTAGCTAACAGCGCCACCAGTGGTCGTTCATTAAACTGTAGCTAACAGCGCCACCAGTGGTCGTTCAGTGAACTGTAGCTAACAGCGCCACCAGTGGTCGTTCATTAAACTGTAGCTAACAGCGCCACCAGTGGTCGTTCAGTGAACTGTAGCTAACAGCGCCACCAGTGGTCGTTCATTATACTTTAGCTAACAGCGCCACCAGTGGTCGTCCATTAAACTGTAGCTAACAGCGCCTCCAGTGGTCGTTCATTAAACTGTAGCTAACAGCGCCACCAGTGGCCGTTCATTAAACTGTAACTAACAGCGCCACCAGTGGTCGTTCATTAAACTGTAACTAACAGCGCCACCAGTGGTCGTTCAGTGAACTGTAGCTAACAGCGCCACCAGTGGTCGTTCAGTGAACTGTAGCTAACAGCGCCACCAGTGGTCGTTCATTAAACTGTAGCTAACAGCGCCTCCAGTGGTCGTTCAGTGAACTGTAGCTAACAGCGCCACCAGTGGTCGTTCAGTGAACTGTAGCTAACAGCGCCACCAGTGGTCGTTCATTAAACTGTAACTAACAGCGCCACCAGTGGTCGTTCAGTGAACTGTAGCTAACAGCGCCACCAGTGGTCGTTCAGTGAACTGTAGCTAACAGCGCCACCAGTGGTCGTTCATTAAACTGTAGCTAACAGCGCCACCAGTGGTCGTTCATTAAACTGTAGCTAACAGCGCCACCAGTGGTCGTTCATTAAACTGTAGCTAACAGCGCCACCAGTGGGCGTTCATTAAACTGTAGCTAACAGCGCCACCAGTGGTCGTTCAGTGAACTGTAGCTAACAGCGCCACCAGTGGTCGTTCATTAAACTGTAGCTAACAGCGCCACCAGTGGTCGTTCAGTGAACTGTAGCTAACAGCGCCTCCAGTGGTCGTTCATTAAACTTTAGCTAACAGCGCCACCAGTGGTCGTTCATTAAACTGTAGCTAACAGCGCCTCCAGTGGTCGTTCATTAAACTGTAGCTAACAGCGCCACCAGTGGCCGTTCATTAAACTGTAACTAACAGCGCCACCAGTGGTCGTTCAGTGAACTGTAGCTAACAGCGCCACCAGTGGTCGTTCAGTGAACTGTAGCTAACAGCGCCACCAGTGGTCGTTCATTAAACTGTAGCTAACAGCGCCACCAGTGGTCGTTCATTAAACTGTAGCTAACAGCGCCACCAGTGGTCGTTCAGTGAACTGTAGCTAACAGCGCCACCAGTGGTCGTTCAGTGAACTGTAGCTAACAGCGCCACCAGTGGCCGTTCATTAAACTGTAACTAACAGCGCCACCAGTGGTCGTTCAGTGAACTGTAGCTAACAGCGCCACCAGTGGTCGTTCAGTGAACTGTAGCTAACAGCGCCTCCAGTGGTCGTTCATTAAACTGTAGCTAACAGCGCCACCAGTGGTCGTTCAGTGAACTGTAGCTAACAGCGCCACCAGTGGTCGTTCATTAAACTGTAGCTAACAGCGCCACCAGTGGTCGTTCATTAAACCGTAGCTAACAGCGCCACCAGTGGTCGTTCATTAAACTGTAGCTAACAGCGCCACCAGTGGTCGTTCATTAAACTGTAGCTAACAGCGCCACCAGTGGTCGTTCATTAAACTGTAGCTAACAGCGCCACCAGTGGTCGTTCATTAAACTGTAGCTCACAGCGCCACCAGTGGTCGTTCATTAAACTGTAGCTAACAGCGCCACCAGTGGTCGTTAATTAAACTGTAGCTAACAGCGCCACCAGTGGTCGTTCAGTGAACTGTAGCTAACAGCGCCACCAGTGGTCGTTCATTAAACTGTAGCTAACAGCGCCACCAGTGGTCGTTCATTAAACTGTAGCTCACAGCGCCACCAGTGGTCGTTCATTAAACTGTAGCTAACAGCGCCTCCAGTGGTCGTTCATTAAACTGTAGCTAACAGCTTTGGACCGTTAGCTCCATGCTAATAACTAGCTCGCTGTTTACCAATCAGCCATCAGCCAACACCACGAAGCAACCAACACCAGACCCACAATGCAACACCAAGATACAGCTGGACAACCCCAGTTAGCTTAGCTACAGTTAGCTAGCTGGATGCCCCTCCCTCACATCACTCTCAGCTAGTAGAAAGCTATCGTTAGCTTTGTGCTGTTAGCATCATTTATGTTTAAATACATAAATACATACACAATACATGTTCACTCTCTGTTCACACACACTGACTCACACACTCACACACACACTGACTCACACAGTTGATTGTTGTTGTTGATTGTTGTTGTTGTTGTTGTGGAGCAGAGCATGCTGGGAACCAGGAGAGCTTCAGTCAGGCTCTGGAGCGACTGGGAGGAAACCAGTCTGAACTGGGAGCTGCTTTCGTTAAGTTCTCCTGCCTTGTTAAAGAACTTGCCGCTCTGCTCAAGAACCTGGTCAGTCAATCAATCAATACATTAATCAATACATCAATCAGTCAGTGCTTTCAGCTGTTGATAATGAAGGTGTGTCTCGTGTTCAGCTGCAGAGTTTGAGCCATAACGTGGTCTTCACTCTGGACTCGCTGTTGAAAGGAGACCTGAAGGGAGTTAAAGGGGTCGGACTGTTTCTTCCTGTTTAATCTATAAATCACTGAATTATTGATTATTGTCCATCAGCTCATCCAACGTTTCTGTTTCAGGACCTGAAGAAACCCTTCGATAAAGCCTGGAAGGACTACGAGACCAAGTTGTGAGTGGGTTTGAACTCTTCGATAGTAATGAAGACTTTATTGATCGTCCTCCTCCGGCTCTTACAGACTGTTGTTAATGATTTAATATGTTCCTCTTTATGCTGATGACACTGTCATTTACTTCCTAGCTTAGCTTGTTGCCGGGTCACGGTGTGTCTCCTGTGAGCCGGTCCACTTTCACACCGTGAAGCCCTTCTCAATCCTCTCGGGCAGACGTAGTATTTTAATATTGAGCTTCTTAATTGGCCCTCGAGGTCGCTCAGCTCACCCACCTTGTGCTAACGTTAGCTAGCTCATCACCACTTCACTCCCTGAAAGAGCTATCTTGGCGTCCTTTGGGTCGGTTTCTTGTTTTTAACCAGTTCAGAGTTTTATGAGTCACTGGTCACCATCAGTGAGGGTGAACTCGAGCATTTATTATCCAGGTTAACGAGGATGGAGGTACAAACACAACCTCAGTAAACCTGGCTGCGTATTGAGTCTGTGTTTCCCAGAGCTGCAGTGAACGTCTCATACCTCCACACAGCCTGTTAATGATCAGACACACGTTAACGGTGCGTTCAATGAACACTTCGATCAGTTCTGCTTGATTTGAACTGTTAATGTGGACGCATGCTAGCTATATGCTAGTTAGCTTGACATAAGCTTGTTGTTAATTGGCGGAGCTGTTAGCTGTTAGCTGTTAGCTGTTAGCTGGCGGGGCTGTTAGCTGTAGGGGCTGTTAGCTGTTAGCTGTTAGCTGTAGGGGCTGTTAGCTGTTAGCTGTTAGCTGGCGGGGCTGTTAGCTGTTAGCTGGTGGGGCTGTTAGCTGTTAGCTGTTAGCTGTAGGGGCTGTTAGCTGTTAGCTGTTAGCTGTAGGGGCTGTTAGCTGTTAGCTGTAGGGGCTGTTAGTTGTTAGCTGTTAGCTGGCGGGGCTGTTAGCTGTTAGCTTGGGCTGGGGCTGTTAGCTGTTAGCTGTAGGGGCTGTTAGCTGTTAGCTGTTAGCTGTAGGGGCTGTTAGCTGTTAGCTGTTAGCTGGCGGGGCTGTTAGCTGTTAGCTGTAGGGGCTGTTAGCTGTTAGCTGTTAGCTGGCGGGGCTGTTAGCTGTTAGCTGTTAGCTGTTAGAGTGATGTCTCTGTTTGTGTTTTCCAGCACAAAGATCGAAAAGGAGAAGAGAGAACACGCTAAACAACACGGGATGATCCGAACTGAGATCACAGGAGCTGAAATCGCTGAAGAGATGGAGAAAGAGAGGAGGCTGTTCCAGCTGCAGATGTGTGAGGTACCTGGCAGCGCCCCCTACAGGCTGACGCAGTCACTACAGGCAGCAGGACTGTTTTACACCTGACTTAGATTCGACCTCACAGACCTGAACTGTGTGATTGATTGACAGCTGTGATTGATTGACAGCTGTGTGATTGATTGACAGCTGTGTGATTGATTGACAGCTGTGATTGATTGACAGCTGTGTGATTGATTGACAGCTGTGTTTGATTGACAGCTGTGTGATTGATTGACAGCTGTGTGATTGATTGACAGCTGTGTGTTTGATTGACAGCTGTGTGATTGATTGACAGCTGTGTGATTGATTGACAGCTGTGTTTGATTGACAGCTGTGTGATTGATTGACAGCTGTGATTGATTGACAGCTGTGGGATTGATTGACAGCTGTGGGATTGATTGACAGCTGTGTGATTGATTGACAGCTGTGTGTTTGATTGACAGCTGTGTGATTGATTGACAGCTGTGTGATTGATTGACAGCTGTGATTGATTGACAGCTGTGTTTGATTGACAGCTGTGATTGATTGACAGCTGTGGGATTGATTGACAGCTGTGGGATTGATTGACAGCTGTGATTGATTGACAATTGTGTGTTTGATTGACAGTATCTGATCAAAGTCAATGAGATAAAGACGAAGAAGGGCGTGGACCTGCTGCAGAACCTCATCAAGTACTACCACGCTCAGTGCAAGTAAGAACACTTGAGATGAGATTCAAACCATGTTTTATTTTGAAAAACCCAATCAGCTTCTGGTCTCGTTTTCCTGTTTGCAGTTTTTTTCAGGACGGTTTGAAGACGGCCGACAAACTGAAGCAGTACATCGAGAAACTGGCTGCCGACCTGTTCAATGTAAGATCCTTGTATGTTCTAATAAACAGCGCAGGTGAGCTCAGGTGAGCTCAGGTGTGACCTCTGCTGTCTCCACAGATCAAACAGAGTCAGGACGAGGAGAAGAAGCAGCTGACAGCTCTTAGAGATCTCATCAAGACCTCCTTACAGCTGGACCAGAGGGAGGTACAGCACCTGGGAGGGTGGGGCGGGGTTTAACAGAGTGAGGCAAGGTCAGCCAGTAAGGGGGCGTGGTCTGCTGGTTAACACATCGCTATGGTTACTGAATTCATCCAGATTATAAAATGAGCAGTGAAACATTAATGTGAAGGTCTGTGATTGGCTGTCAGTGAAATGCATTCTGGGAGTTGTAGTTGACGGATGTCTTCTAACAGTCTTTAGTTTCATGAAGAACCGAACGCCTCACACCTGCTCAGAGCTGATTGGCTGAGAGATAACGGGGCGGGGCCAGGGGCAGAGTCTAATGTGATACAAATTACCACTTTATTGACCTCTGACCTCTCTCTCTCTCTCTCTCGCCCTCTCTGACTGAAGTCCAGGAGAGTAAGTCTGCCTCGCTATCGTCACTTTAAAGCTGCATCTTCATCACTTTGTGATTAATTGTGATTTATTGATCTGGTATTGCTGCTGTGAATCATAAATAACGATATTACAATAAATATAAAGTCTGATACAGAAAGTTAACAATACAATAATAAGTTAGTGTTGTCAATGTATTGATCACAGGTTCACCTACAGAAGCTCACTGCATCTGAATTTCACTGTAACTGTATGTTTACGCTGTTATATTTATTGATATATATTTAGCATTAATATATGATTAAAACATACATATAACACATAACACAGCTGTTAATTCCTGTTTGACATTATTGTATCAATCAAGCTAATCAACAATCCATGACCATGTGACTGCAGTGTGTATGTGTGTGTGTATATAACATCATTACACACACATATTGAGCAGCTTTAAGGTAATACAGTTTACAGCAGCGAGTGTCTCCCTCAGGGTCCAGATCACCTGCAGAGAGAATTATTGATTATATTAATTAACATTCTAATAAAAACAGCTCAAGTCCTGTGTTTCATTAAGTCCAGAGTGTTCACTATAAAATACATATAAAAAAGTAACTGCTCTGTTGAGCTGTATTGATCTGACAGAAAGATGAATAAATGTATAGAATAACAGAGAACATAAATAAACAGTTATACTTACAGGACATCATCATCCAATATGAGCTTCATACACATATTCTTTATTATTATTTGATTGCCTACAACAATATTATATCATGTATGAATGTGAAGGAAGGACAACAGACATTATATATTTACTATTATTATATTCTGTACATTAATATATAATCTTTATATATGTGTTTACTGTATAATATATACTCTTTATGTGTGTAGTGTATAATATATAATCTTTATGTGTTTACTGTATAATATATCATCTTTATATATGTTTACTGTATATTGTATCATCTTTATATGTGTTTACTGTATAAGATATATTCTTTATTTATGTGTTTTTTAGGACTCTCAGAGTAAACAGAGTGGTTACAGTATGCACCAGCTGCAGGGAAACAAGGAGTTTGGCAGCGAGAAGAAAGGATACCTGCTGAAGAAGAGCGATGGGTACGACTGTCTGTTCACCTGTACAGGTGTTACAGACCTTCTGATTGGTCGATACTATATTTGCACAGTCAGTATGTTGGTCAATAACTTTGTTTCATGATTATTTTCCGTTTCTGCCAAACTCCAGTCAAAAGTTGTCAGTTTTAAGCTTCACTCAGTTCTGTCTTCATCAGGCTGAGGAAGGTCTGGCAGCGAAGAAAGTGTTCTGTGAAGAGTGGCGTCCTCACTATTTCTCACGCTACGGTAAGCACTACATCTCCCATCATGCACTGCACCAGTCAACAGGTAATAAAAGGTTAATTTTCTCTTTAAGAAAGTTTTAATTATTCAACACTTAACACACAGTCAGTCTGTGTTAATGAAAAATGAGAGCAGTAGAGGATCCATGATGGTGCCCTGAGGAACTCCACAAACTTCTGTTGGAACCAAACCAGATTTATTGAAGTCCAACTAAAATGATAAGAAAACGGTTTATATATATCGTTGTAAAAGTAAAGTTCAATTCAATTCTTATAAATTCAATTCAATTTTATTTGTATAGCGCCAATTCATAACAGAAGTTATCTCAGGACACTTTTCAAATAGAGCAGGTCTAGACCGAACTCTTGATACTTATTTAGAGACCCAACATTAATTACAGTGAGAACGCCTAACTTTAGTACCACCATTTGTAGAGCAAGCACTTTAATTGGCGACAAGGGCAAGGAAAAACTGCCTGTTAAAAGGCAGAAACCTGCCTAAGGTTTTTTTTTTTTTTTTTTTTTTTTTTTTTTTTACAGAAGTTCCTCCGGCTTTCATAGGTGGGTGGTCTGCCGATCTTTGTAACATTTTACAGAGACACAGTATGGGGTGAGAGGGATTGTTAAGGAGAGAGGAGAGAGAGAGAGAGAGAGAGAGAGCGAGAGACAGACAGACAGACAGGTGCACAGCAACAACAGTATTGGCAATGGCAGTCAAGCAGGACCATGGCCGGAGGCTCCACCAGGATCCATGAGAACCTGCGAGACGAGAAAGCACAAGAACTCCGGGGAAGAAGTGAAGTTAGTAACATGCATTAATGGAACATGAATGAGTGCAGAAAGAGAGAGGAAGAGAGGAGCTCAGTGCACCATGGGAAATCCCCCGATAGTCTAGGCCTATAGCAGCATAACTAAGGGATGGTTCAGGACTCACCTGATCCAGCCCTAACTATAAGCTTTATCAAAGAGGAATGTCTTAAGCCTACTCTTGAATGTGGTGAGGGTGTCTGCCTCCCGAACCACAACTGGAAGCTGGTTCCACAGGAGAGGAGCTTGGTAACTGAAGGCTCTGGCTCCTGTTCTACTTTTAGAGACTATAGGAACCACAAGTAGCCCAGCATTCAGAGAAAGTAGTGTTCTAGTGGGGTAATAGGGTACTATGAGCTCTTTAAGATATGAAGGGGCCTGACCATGAAGAGCTTTATAGGTGAGGAGGAGGATTTTAAATTCTATTCTACATTTTACAGGGAGCCAGTGCAAAGAAGCTAGTACAGGAGAGATGTGATCTTTTTTCTAGTTCCTGTCAGTACTCGTGCTGCAGCGTTCTGAATTAATTGGAGCGTTTTAATGGACTTATTGGAGCAACCTGATAATAAAGAGTTGCAGTAATCCAGCCTTGAAGTAACAAATGCATGGATTAGTTTTTCTGCATCTGTCTGTGATATTATGTGTCTAATTTTTGTAAAATTAAAAATTAAATGAAAGAAGGCAGTCCTAGAGGTCTGCTTTATGTGGGAGTTAAATGACAAATCCTGATCAAAGATAACTCCAAGATTCCTGACAGTGGTGCTAGAGGCCAAGGTAATGCCATCTAGAGTAACTATATCTTTAGACAGTGAGTCTCTAAGGTTTTTGGGGCCAAGAACAAGAATTTCGTTTTTTTCTGAGTTTAACATCAGAAAATTGCAGCTCATCCAGGATTTTATGTCCTTAAGACATGTTTGTAATTTAGATAATTGATTAATTTCATCGGGCTTGATCGATAGATATAACTGCGTATCATCTGCATAACAGTGAAAGTGAATGGAGTTATTCCTAATAATGTTGCCTAAAGGGAGCATATATAAAGTAAATAGTATTGGTCCAAGTACAGAACCTTGTGGAACTCCATGACTAACTGTAGTTTTTATTGAAGATTCATCATTAACATGTACAAACTGCGAGCGATCTGATAAATATGACTTAAACCAGGTTAGTGCAGTTCCTTTAATGCCAATTTGATGCTCAAGTCTCTGTAAAAGAATATTATGGTCAATGGTGCCTGAATTGGACCAAAAAAGATGTTGGTACCGTAATTCAGCACAACCTTACTTCTTGTGGCAATTTTTATCCTTTTTAACAAGGACATTAGCGTTAAGCTAGCTGACACATAGTAAGGTAGACATTTACCTCACCAGCACCAGCTTCCAGTTGTGGTTCGGGAGGCAGACACCCTCACCACATTCAAGAGTAGGCTTAAGACATTCCTCTTTGATAAAGCTTATAGTTAGGCTGGATCAGGTGAGTCCTGAACCATCCCTTAGTTATGCTGCTATAGGCCTAGACTACCGGGGGATTTCCCATGGTGCACTGAGCTACTCTCTTCCTCTCTCTTTCTGCACTCATTCATGTCCCTTTAATGCATGTTACTAACTCCACTTCTTCCCCGGAGTTCTTGTGCTTTCTCGTCTCGCAGGTTCTCATGGATCCTGGTGGAGCCTCCTGCCATGGTCCTGCTTGACTGCCATTGCCAATACTGTTGTTGCTGTGCACCTGTCTGTCTGTCGCTCTCTCTCTCTCTCTCTCTCTCTCTCTCTCTCTCTCTCTCTCTCTCTCTCTCTCTCTCTCACCCCAACTGGTCGAGACAGACGACCACCCACCTAGAGCCGGAGGATCTGTCCTAGGTTTCTGCCTTTTAACAGGCAGTTTTTCCTTGCCCTTGTCGCCAGTGCTTGCTCATGGTGGTACTGTTGGGTCTCTGTAATTAATGTTAAAGAGTTCGGTCTAGACCTGCTCTATTTGAAAAGTGTCCTGAGATAACTTCTGTTATGAATTGGCGCTATACAAATAAAATTGAATTGAATTGAATTGAATTGCTATACCCAGAAATAGAAAACGGAACTTGCTTGGGGGGGTTTGAGGGCATCAAAGTAGTTTTTTTAGGCAATTATTTCATTAATTTTAATATCTGGCCCTCTGTGATGGTAAATACGCCTATGCTCGACAGAGGTGGTGGTACTCAATAAGAAGTAAGGGTCCTCAAGTGGACAAAAGTCTGAAGTGAGTAATGGCCCTCTTCAAGCCCTGCCTGCTTGCAGCTAGCTGGCTAACATTAGCTTGCTCCCTAATGCAATTGCTTACAAAATCCTATCTGAGTGGATACGTTAGTTGGCTAACGTTAGCTTCCCTAGCTAATGTGATCCATGATAGTAACTTATGTATTCTGACAAATGGTGTTGATGTTGGCCAACCATAAATGCTGTAGCGGCACAAAGCTAACGATAGCTTTCTACTAGCCAAAAGCGATGCGAGGCAGGGCATCCAGCTCGCTAACTGTAGCTAAGCTAACTGAGGTTGTCCAGCTGGCTGTGTCTTGGTGTTGCATTGTGGGTCTGGTGTTGGTTGCTTCATGGTGTTGGCTGATGGGCTGATTTGTAAACGACGAGCTAGTTAGTAGCATGGAGCTAACGGTCCAAATGAAATATAGGAACATTGCAGATAGTAACGTTATTCTAAATATGATTGCTGCTGCAGTTCACTGAACGGCCACTGGTGGCGCTGTTAACTACAGTTTAATGTAGCTTTAATAAAAGTCAGTTTTAATGGCGTCTCAGTAAAATAGTCACTGGCAGGAAGAATCTGCTTTAATGGAGTCAGCTTTCAGTCTGTTTATGCTGAGTCACATGATTAAATATTCAGCTGTTCTGGTGTCAGGTGACAGAAAATCATTTCTGATGTTTATCAGGAGCACATTGAACACTACACTGCTGATCTTTCATGAAATACAAATTAATGATCAGTTTTTATATTGATCTCATTTTTTCACTACATTTGTCTGTTCTGATCTGATATCAGTTGAACTGTTACTTAATCTCTTAGTCTGTCTGTCTGTCTGTCTGTCTCCCAGTCAAACAGACAGCCGGTCAGGTTGAACCTGCTCACCTGTCAGGTGAAACCCAGCACAGAGGACAAGAAGTGCTTCGACCTGATCTCCCGTAAGTGACGCTGGTTCCAACATTCCGATTTATATTTTATATAATAAGGTGAAATAATCTGTAGACTTTACAAACCCACTGATGTGTTATGTGATGTTATGTGATTGTGATGAATAAATGCTGGAAACATTTGAAGAGCAGTGAGTCGACGCCCTCTGGTGGACAAACTGTGGTTTATAAATGAGTGCTGGCCTCTTTACTTCTTCTTCTGTGGTTTGTCCTGCAGACAATCGGACGTACCACTTCCAGGCTGAAGACGAGTCGGAGTTCATCAGGTGAAACATTCATCACTTCCTCTTTAATCTGATCCTCAGATCTCCTCCCACCTGTCCAACGCTCTGTGTGTGTGTGTGTGTGTGTGTGTGTGTGTGTGTGTGTGTGTGTGTGTGTGTGTGTGTGTGTGTGTGTGTCTGTGTGTGTGTGTGTGTGTCTGTGTGTGTGTGTCTGTGTGTGTGTGTGTGTGTGTGTGTGTGTGTGTGTGTGTGTGTCTGTGTGTGTGTCAGCTGGGTGTCTGTGTTGACCAACAGTAAGGAGGAGGCTCTGAACGTAGCGTTTCAGGGCGGAGGTCAGAGTTCAGGCGTGGAGGAAGAGGAGGAGCTAACCAAGAGCATCATCGACGAGGTTCTGCGGTCACCAGGCAACGACACCTGCTGCGACTGTGGAGCCACAGGTGAGTGTGTGTGTACCTGCAGCAGGTAACTTTATCCCGACAGTCCAACCTGAGACAGATAATCTGTGACATAATCAGGTTCTTCTGGCTCCTCCCACTGCTCCTAATGATGTTTGGACGAATCCTCCGGGCCCGAATGAAAACAACCAATCAGAGCCAAGTGATCGTTTAGATCCTGTAAGGAACTGGAACATTTTGAATAAGAGACTCAGTCAGGTTGAGTTTAAATATGGTCACATCAGTGTTCAATAACCCCAAAAACCACTCCCATACAGCTGATTATTAATGCTAATCATGCTAATTGTCCAACATATGTAAGTTAGCATCAGTCAGTTTCTAGATGCTGCAGATGCACACTGTACATTTCTTACATTCCTGGTTGCTGCAGACAGGAGCACTATGAAGAACAATATGTGGAGGACAAGTACAAGTACCTTGAATCTGTACTCAAGTAAATGTACTGAGTTACTTTTCACCACTTTAGATCCTCGTTGGATCTCCACCAACCTCGGTGTTCTGACCTGCATCGAGTGTTCAGGGATCCACAGGGAGATGGGAGTCCACGTGTCCCGAATCCAGAGTCTGGAACTGGACAAACTGGGAACCTCTGAGCTGCTGGTAACCTTGTCTGTCTGCCTGCCTGCCTGTCTGCCTGCCTGTCTGTCTGTCTGCCTGTCTGCCTGCCTGTCTGTCTGTCTGTCTGCCTGTCCGTCTGTCTGTTTACACTGTCTCTCCTTCCTTCCTGCCAGCTTGCTAGGAATGTTGGGAACTGTAGTTTCAATGAGATCATGGAGGCCAGCCTACCATCTCCATCTCTGAAGCCGTCAGCCTCCAGCGACATGTGAGTGTGTGTTTACTATCTGTACTGAACAGCCATCTTTGTTTATGTGGATGGTTTGTACATAGAAATGAATTAAATCTGTTAATCTACTGCGTCTGCAGGACGGCGAGGAAGGAGTTCATCAATGCCAAGTACATCGACCGCAAGTTTGTCAGGCGTGCCATCTCCATGGCGGCCAGCAGGCTGGATGATGTGTACGAAGTGGTGCGATCCAGAGACCTGCTGTCAATCATCCAGCTCTACGCTGAGGGGGTGGAGCTGCTGCAGCCCCTCCCTGAACCAGGAAAGGTTGGTTGGATGTCACACCTGTCAATCATTACATCCACCTGGACGTTAGTTAAAGAGAAACACCACGGGGTTCCCTAGTTCAGGGTCTCAGGAGGGTCTAGTTGTCCATCAGGAGGTGTCAATGGTTCCCAGGTCTTTTCGTCACGGGTCAGCAAGACATCATGTCGGGCACGCCTTGACCCGACTCCGGCACATGTCAGCGCATTTAAACTCGTAATGAAATCGCAAATTAGCGCCCTATCAGAGGGCATCTGGGGAATTTAAATGGGTCTTCCAGTGCTATATGGGGAGGTTCTAGGTGTCCATTAGGAGGTGTCAGTTGCTCTCAGGGAGGTTCCTGTTGTCTTTCAGGGATATTGAGAGGTAGAAATTCTTCTTTGTGTTTATAAATCCCAGGATCTGTGAAGACTCTAAGGACTTTCAGGGTAGACCCAGAGTTCTTTGAAGCAACTTCCCAGGTCCCATCCCAGGGGATGGAGGTTTTTAGGAGGGTCTGGTGCTACAAATGGATGTTCTACAAGTCCTTTAGGAGGACTGAAGGATAGGAAGGTTCTTTTAGGAGGTTCTGATGGTACCAGGGTTCCTTTGGATCATGCAGTCTTGGTGGAGGTCTGAGTGCTGTTATATTTACGTTAAGTTATTTTTATAATTCGTTATGTTTTTTGTTCAGGAGGCGGGAGAAACGGCGTTACATTATTGTGTTCGGACGGCTGATCACTCCTCTCTCCACCTGGTCGACTTCCTGGTCCAGAACAGGTATGAAACTGTGTGTGGATGTGTCTAAAATTATTTTTAGATATCTATAACAGGAAGGGCTGATTTTATCACTGATGTCTTTGAGGTCTGCCCTAAGGGTCCCGGATTTTGGCTTCACTGTTTTCGCAGTGTGTTAATGTGTGTGTCTGTCTGCAGTGGTAACCTGGACGGACAGACTGACGGAGGGAACACAGCTCTGCATTACTGCTGCCTGTACAACAAACCACAGTGTGTGAAACTGCTACTGAGAGGAAAACCTGACATCCACATCAGTAAGAACACCATCAGTAGGACAGGATGCAGACAGGTCCATAAAGGAGCAGTGCTACTTTTATGTAAACCGGGGGTGTTCAAACCTTTGCCCTTGGAGGACCAAAACTGAAACTCAACGGTGGGCCAAGAGCCAAAAGCAGACACCTGTTGTAAGGATTAGAAGCAAAATGGTTCCAGGATCCCAAGTTCCCTTAACTGACTGACTTAACGCAGTGTCACTCTTCCAGTTGTATATAAAAATAATTAATAATTAGGGATCCTACAGCTATTTTACCTGATGATAAATAAATAAATAAAACACCATAAACTGTGATCTGTTTTTAAATTTTTTTATTCATTTTTAAGAGTGGTTAGCCTAGCTTAGCTCAAAAACTGGAAGCAGGGGGAAACTGTTAACCTAGTTCTGTCATTAAGCATCTGCTTGTTTCCTGTATCTTCTTAGCCAATCAGAGTGGCGAGACGGCACTGGACATTGCCCGCAGACTGAAGAAGTCCCAGTGTGAAGAACCGGTAGGAAGCATGTCAATATCTGGTTTACTATTGCCCATTCTGATTGACTGGCAGGTGACAATAACTTTTAGTAACCAGAATAGTATAAAGGCTCCGACACACTCCGACACACTTGGTGTGATCCACACTCCACTCCAGTAAAGCACAATAACGTTGTTTGCCAACCAACAGAACAGTCAGGAAGAAGAAAGAACCTGTGTAGTTATCTTTTATTGATTGTTCTCTGAGCCATCCTAAGTACTGGGAGCAGTGGGCAGCCACAGTGTGGACCAACTCCAGGGCTGATCCAGAGCCTTGGTCAACGGCACTGACTGGAGGAATCAACCTCACATACGTAGTTTGATAGTGGAGAAAACCCACGCAAACACAGGGCGAACATCCACACAGAAAGGCCCGTCAGTGCTAACCACTGAGCTGCCGGGGAATGAAAATGGTGATCTCACAACAGCATTCTTGAATTCTTTGTATTATTTCAAAGACAAATTATATAAATGTGAGTAACGGATTTCATCCTCAACACAAGCATCCATTTTGTTATCTGGAACACATGTGCTTTGCGTACGGTCGGGGTGGTGACTGGTGAAGTCAGGTTTTATCCATCACTTCGGCCTTCAGTGACTCAGTAGAGCGTATCATTGACCCTTTTTGCTAATGATTGATGTAGATTGGTGTTTTGTTAACATTAGTTAACTTAAGATGTGACTATATACATTTTATCTGCATTAACATTAGCTGTGTGTCTCCCAGTTGGTGGAGGCGGTCTGTGGCAGGTTTAACCCTCATGTTCACGTTGAATACGACTGGAACCTCAGACTGGACGAACTGGATGAAAGCGACGACGAACTGGACGACAAGGTAACCACAGAACAACAACCTCCTGCTTCCTCCTCTGCTTGTCCCGTATGACCTCCTGCTGCTCCTCACTCTTCCCTCTCCACCTCCTCCTGCAGCCCAGTCCTGTGAAGAAGGAGCGTTCTCTCCGTCCTCAGAGCTTCTGTCCGTCCTCTAGCGTTTCCTCTCAGGAGAAGCTTTCTCTGCCGGCCTCCTTCATTCCTCCTCACAGGGACAAGCAGCGTCTCTCCTATGGGGCGTTTGCCAACCCCGTCTACAGCACCTCCTCCGACAATCCTCCATCCCCCGGGCCCGACACCTCGGGACCTTCGCCGTCTGCCAGGAGCCATGGGAAAGGTGAGAGGTGAAGGAGAGTCCTTCTCACAGATCCAAAGGTTTCTGAAGGTTTTAGGAGCTTTAGAAGTTCTTGACCGGTTCGGGAGGTTTGAGAAGAGACTTGTTGGGTCTTTGTTGTGGGTATTTTTCTGTTTTAGCACTTCATCAGGAGTCATTAATAACAAGCTCATCATGTTTAGTTAGGAGTCTAATTAGCTGATAATGATCCTGATCAGCCTGATCAGTAATCAATACTCTCATTATTAAAGCATTAATCAACCTTATCAGCCTTTAGTAGTTAGCTAGTGTCTCTGTTGTGGAGACCAAACGTTAACAATGATCCATATTAGCAGTTTGAATCCAACTAAAAGCTCCCTGCACCAAACTCCCTTTATCACCTGGCTGAGTCCTTGCTGTGGTGTCATCCTCTCTCTCCCCCCTGTCCTGTCACTCTTCAGCTAAAGGCCGTCATATCACCAATAATTAACTGTAATGTGTGATGTCACTGATTTCTCCCTCAGGCCCCACCACCGGCCCACCCACTTCCCTCCCCCTCACCTCTCAGACCACTGGAGGAGGAGGAGGAGGAGGAAGCTCCAGCCTGAAGAAGAGACCCCCCCCACCTCCACCTGGACACAAGCGTACCCTGTCCGACCCCCCCAGCCCAGTCCTGCAGGGACCTGCCGGTAAAGGTAAGACTGCAGCGACTCGCCACACAATCTGAAACTCCTCAACCATCTGACCTCTGACCCTCAGTGGAAATCTGTTTCATACAGGAAGTGAGCTGACCCCCCCACCTGGAAACAGGACCCACAAGTTTGAGGGGATCCAGCAGCAGCAGAGGTACTTTTACACATAAAATGCTAAAAACAAAGTACAAAGTGTGGTAAAGGTGACCTTTGACTTCTCCTGACCCTCTCCAGTACGACCTCCAGTAAGTCCACACTGGGACCCAGAGTTCTGCCCAAACTACCTCAGAAAGGTGAGTGCTGCTTGTTGACCATCAGGAACATTTCAGCCTGTAAAGGTCATACAGGTACTAACCCACCAGGGGGAGATAGCGAGAGAGAGTCTATACTGCAGTCAGCCACCAGGGGGAGATAGCGAGAGAGAGTCTATACTGCAGTCAGCCACCAGGGGGAGATAGCAGAGAGAGTCTATACTGCAGTCAGCCACCAGGGGGAGATAGCGAGAGAGAGTCTATACTGCAGTCAGCCACCAGGGGGAGATAGCGAGAGAGAGTCTATACTGCAGTCAGCCACCAGGGGGAGATAGCGAGAGAGAGTCTATATTGTAGTCAGCCACCAGGGGGAGATAGCGAGAGAGAGTCTATACTGCAGTCAGCCACCAGGGGGAGATAGCGAGAGAGAGAGTCTATACTGCAGTCAGCCACCAGGGGGAGATAGCGAGAGGAGTCCATTCTGCAGTCAGCCACCAGGGGGAGATAAGAGAGAGAGTCTATACTGAGTCAGCCACCAGGGGGAGATAGCGGGAGAGAGAGTCTATACTGCAGTCAGCCACCAGGGGGAGATTCAGCAGCCGATCAGGAACTTTATTTGAACCTGTTGGTTTTGTCTTTCAGTGGCTTTAAGGAAGATCGACACCATCCACCTCCCCTCTGTGGACAAACCCAGCCAGCCTCCAGACCTCCTCCATAAACCCTCCACCTCCCAGCCCGACCCCCAGAAGTCTCCCCCCTTTATTGACGCCTCCCCTAAACCCCCCCTCACCCCCGTGGACTCCACCCAGAGAGCCCCATTGGCTGAAAAGCCCCAGCTGTCTGACCTCCCCCCCAAACCTCTCCTGTCTGACCTCCCCCCTAAACCCCTCCTCAAAGACCTTCCACCCAAACCACAGATCGCAGACCTCCCCCCGAAACCGCCGCTCAGCGATAGGCCCGGCCCCACTCCTGTTGCTACAGAGATGCAGGGATCCAAGATGGCGGCAGCGATGGAGAGCCAGTCGTCTGTCCAGCAGGGGGAGTTGTCACCCCGACCGGCAGCCGGAGACGTTGATGAGTCGCCGCCGGGCGCCGTGGAGACGCCCGTCCCACTGCCGCGCAAAATCAACTCTGTGAGGGTCCTTCAGATGATAAAACGGGTTCTCACAGTTCAGAACCGAAACTGACTGTTGTTTCTCTCCAGGTGAAGAGTAAAATCCGGAGGGTGAAAACCATCTACGACTGTCAGGCTGATAACGAAGACGAGCTAACCTTCGCAGAGGGCGAGGTCATCATCGTCACCGGAGAGGAGGACCAGGAGTGGTGGGTAGGTGACTCAGGTTTTAATATCTGGACTGAGTCGGCGCGTAGAAAACTGCTGCAGCTTCACATTAAAAGCATTTAACTGGAGAAACACCTGTTTAGTTTTATTTTGAAGTAAGCCAGTCACAGGAAGTGCAGTTAGCAGACACTGGCTGCTGTCGATAAAAACACTTTGTTCTGACAGATCAGCAGTAATGCAACAGGTAACTGTCAGACAGGTAACCACAGTCATATATGTCATATAATCGTAATAGTATAATTTTGGCCATAATTACGCAGCCCTAAGCTGTACAGCCAGGAGCATACGGACAGAATAACACAGAATCAATGAATCAAACTATTGATTGAATAACGTTGAATAATAAAACTTGATTTATTAATCAGGGTTATATTTTATTATGGCTCAGGCTCTAACACTTACCTGTTCAAACCCCTTTAAAGGACCAATACAACCCATTAAATGCAGTTTTAATTGCTCTTCACTGTCACTGAAAGGTTTTTTCTGCCCTAGAATAACTTTATATTCAGACGTTCAGAAAAAGAAAACAACCTTCTGAGGAAGAAGGTTTAAGGAACTAATAGGTCCTGTTGGTGCAACCAGTGGGACCAGTTCTCGATTCCCATCCCTTCCTTCCTCTGAGCAGGAGATATTCTACAGCTGTTGTCCCTCTGACTCGTTCAACAACCACGATACATATATAGCCCCAGCACTCCACTTTAAACAAATACTGGTTAATGAGTCGAAAATCAGTTTATATCGGTTACAGCTGTGACTTCATCGCTACGCCGACCCCTGGATGGATCATCGTACCACAAACTGGTTGATGGTCCCATTATAAAGTTATGAATCTGCCGACTGAAGCTTTGCTGCTAACAGTGTCTCCAGTCTCAGGATAGGTCAAGGGTCAGTGGCGACAAGAGTAATATTGGCTCAGGGTTGTTGGCGTTGTCAGCAAGCCACGCTGCGCTAACATTTACAGAGGTAGATCAGATCTGTCCATTTGTAAGAGCATGTCTGGTCTGTGGATGCTAATACAGCTAGCACGTGGGATCCCCTTAAAGGGATAACACTGGTGACCTCAGCAGTAAAAGAATCTGTCTGTTTTCTCAGATCGGACACATCGAGGGACAGCCGGAGAGGAAAGGAGTCTTCCCCATGTCCTTCGTCCACAACCTGATTGATTGACAGCTGTAGAGACGAGTGTGAGGCCACCGCACAGTAGCATGAGCCCCACCCACCCACCTGCTGAGGTCACACAGGTGACAGTGGGCGGAGTCGGTCAGTCAGTGAGTAACCAGCTGACCTCAGTTAATGAAGTCTTCGCTGTAAATAGACCGTATTATTCTGCCTAACAGTGTTACCATAGCAACCCAGCATGCAGACCCGGGCGGGCCGTAGCAAAGGAGTCTGCAGAGAAGGAAAAAACACACAGGTGACAGGAAAGGTCAGAGGTCATCTGACTGACGGCGCCCTCTGCTGGCCGAGCGGCTCATCACACCAGCAGCCAGAGACACAGAAGCACAAACAAAAGCACAACGTCTTTATTCAGTTTATGCTTTCTGCATCCACGTTGTTTCATATCATCATATTTAAAACAGCTGCCTGTATCTGTAACCTGCCAACATTTTACTAGTAATATGTTAGTAAACTGCAACCCAACCACGGATTTTGTCCAGCTCGGGCCGCCCCTCCAGCCCCCTCCAGCCCCTCCAGCCCCCTCCAGCCCCCCTCCAGCCCCCTCCAGCCCCTCCAGCCCCCTCCAGCCCCTCCAGCCCCACCAGCCCCGCCAGCCCCCTCCAGCCCCCTCCAGCCCCTCCAGCCCCCTCCAGCCCCTCCAGCCCCACCAGCCCCGCCAGCCCCCTCCAGCCCCCTCCAGCCCCCTCCAGCCCCCTCCAGCCCCCTCCAGCCCCCTCCAGCCCCCCGCCAGCCCCCTCCAGCCCCACCAGCCCCCTCCAGCCCCCTCCAGCCCCTCCAGCCCCACCAGCCCCCACCAGCCCCTCCAGCCCCCTCCTGCTACGTTAGCCAGCTAGTAATTCATCTGTGTTAACACGCAAGCAAACATTAGCCATCATTGTCCAGCTAAAAGCACAATATGACAATATCTTCCCCAACTTTGTAGTAATGTTAGCTCTGACTTTGGACTGTGTTGTTTGTAGACGTTAGCGGACTCCTCCACAATGAGCAGCTGCAGTCACAATAGCGCTGAATTACTGGAGTTCAGTTTCAGAGAGTCAGTGTGACTTTTCCTTCTCTTCAGATTCCTCAAATCTCTCCAAAGCCGACTCTGTAAACTGTATCTACTGTATCTACTGTATCTTACGTATATAAAACACACCCGTGTGTCCTGACGTCCGTCTGTCTCTGCACATATTGAACACACCTGTGCATGTTTCTGTGCAGGTCCTGATTAACCCGGTTTCATCTCAGCTGAGTCTTATGTTCTTAAAGTTTGACTTTTCTTTGTGAAGTGAAAATGATGCCGACTTTTCCAGTTAAATCTGTGAATCAATCTGAGAGTCCCAGAGAGCACCGCTGTAAGACACGTCCAATCAGGGACTTCATTATATATTATAATATATATTATATATATATGAATATTATAATATGCATCATATATATAATATTCAATCTATATTATAATAGTCAATACATATGAATATTATAATATAATATGACTCAGAGAAAGAGAAACGTTAATGTAAACTGTTGAGGACCCAGGATTGACCCCTGTGGTACACCGTAGATGACAATAATTGACTATCTGTCAAAAGTTAAATGAAGAACTTTTAAAATTAGTTTAAGAAATTATATTTACTCACTGATGATGTAATTAAGGTATTATAACGTGATCAATATATGGATGAATTGGCTGTAATATGTTAAAGTAAACTTTATAAAATAACATAAAAACTGTCAATAACTTTACACATTGAACACAGTTCTTTCATCAATATTAAAGGTTTTCATTTATTATATTATATTCAGTCATTTTACAGTCTTCAGCCCCGAACTCGGGGACAACTCTTGAATTTGCTCTTAAGGTATCTGTGAGATACAAACTATAAATTCTACCTGTAATGTAAATAAAGGTTTTTTTACCCTTTAAAAAATATTGAATTAAGTTGAAAGTCATTCCTTCTTGAAATCTCCTGAATTACGTAATTAACCCTCCTGTTATCTTTTGTCATTGAGGTCAATTAAACATCCAGAAATCAATTAAAGTTGATGTGTCAGCTGACGGTTTAAATGTTCTTTCACCAGTGTGGAAACATCAAAGTCCTCGAAGGAACGAAGACACAAACAAACGGCCCTTTCCACCGAATCGCTGCCTTTTCCGTCTCTTACAGGAATAAATATGCATGAAAACTATCAGTCTGCATAATACTTTATATTATTAATATATATTATTTATATTATATATATTGTTTATATTATTAATCAAAGTGTCTGCACTTGGAAAATCATTCATCCAGACACATGACCAACAGGAAGTACATCAGTGGAGTATAACTGAGAATATCTCACGTGTTATAATAACATAATCAACGTTTATATAATTATTTATTATTATTATTATGGATTTTATTAAAACACCTGAAGCTGCTCAATGCTCTCAGACTATTAGCATTGATGCTAATGTGGGTACATTTCATGTATTTACTTAAAATAAAAAATAAAATCTTCCATTAGAAACGATATAAAACATGAAGATACATCCAGAGATAAATAAAAAAAGGTTTCTGTTGAAACATTTCATCATTTAATTTTATGTTTAGGTAAAATTAAATTAGCAAAAGTCAAACTGAGCTCAAAGATAATGTTATAATAATATTATAATATAATAATATTATAATAATATAACAGGAGGGTTTAGGAGCTTCCTGATGAACGGACCAATCAGAAGCTGATTCAGAAGATGATGATTGGTGGAGTCAGACAGTGAGAGGAAGGTCTCTGCTTCCTCCTGATCAATAACAGTCTGTTTATTCTGCAGTCATAATC